ACAGTCATTATTGCTAACCGTTTTTGTTTCTTTATATCATAGTTTGTCGCAGTTGTATCGTGAAATATCTTCACAACTCATTTCACTGCCCCGTTTGTGATGTTGAAGTCCATAAAACGAAGCCTTTGCTGCACATTCGGTAATTAGAAGTTTTGAAATGTTTATAAGTGAAGACTGATTATTGGGCTGCCCGTGAGGGTAACGCACAATCAAGAAATACCTTCCATCTACAAAGACTAAATGGCGAACGGAACTCTCAGAAAGCTCTGCATGTCCCACTTCCCCGTCAATGGGGCAGACTTTTGCGGTATGGGACAGGTAATTTCAGGTGGTCTGGCGAACAGACTTGGAAGTCGATTTGGAACGAACACAGAATTATTGCGTGGGGTTAATTGACCCTATCTCTACACCGCAGTATTCGATGAGTTTAGCCTGCGTGAGGGCTGCAGAAACAATGCCCTTCCGCGATGATTGTCTTAATAAGCGTTGAATGAGTAGAGGTGAATAAGAAGCTACCACACCTTTTAACAGGTTCGTTAGCTCAATTGTGTGCCATTGAAGATCTCGACGTGGCTGAATGCTTATTTATACGTTGCATGATTGATTGTCTTTTCTTTTTTTCCATTTCTTAAACTCTTAGACCAGACAGAACTTTGCAAGAAATTGTGTATAAACTTGTGCCAGGCCTCTACCAAGGTAAAGTCTTAAACTAGAAATACATGTCTCGCAAATCCCCAAGTTAAGTCTTAACGGATGGGTGGCGTTATGAACTAGTTTTAGCCTCGCTTCGTTAGAAATACTGTAAGGACCTTGTTAGACACACAGCAGCGAAATGAAAATGTTTTCGGGTTCTTGTGTAGATTAGGATCAGCAGAATCTGAACAAAAAAATAGAAACAGAAGAAATGCAAGGCTGGTCCGGGACTTTTATACTTTTGTTGTCCAAGACTTCAATTAGACAAAATTAATATTTGTTGGCCGTTCAATCAACATTAAATTTTGTTCTGTCTCTATCAATGCTCTAGTCGTTATGTGTACCACATTTCTATGCAAATAAGGCAATGGCACGTAATATGTAGATGTCTGAGATATTTTCATATACCTTTATCGTTTTTGCCATAATAGCCTGCATTCGAGGCTCATGATAGACAATCTCCGTGCAATCAAAAAGGTTGGCGAAGAACGTGACCTGTATAGTGTGTTAATTCAGGAATGTCTTAAAAGGTTTGTAAGTTCATTTTTGGTCAAATGCTATAAAATCGTGGTCGGCTCTTATAGGCTGGATGCCCTGAAAACGTTCTAACATACCTTGCAGCAATCGAGTTTGGACCCATACCACGGCAATAATCATTTAGGAAGTACTAAGACTTATGCTACAGAGTCCCTGGCTTAATAGGGACCTTAAGCAACGAGAACGTTCACGTCCCGGATGTCAAAATTGAAACCGGAAGTTGATATTTTCTCTCTTTCTGTGCTCTCACTGAACAAATTTGTACAGCGGAAGTTAAAACAAAGGCATTCAGATCCGCTGTGTATGACAACAGTGTTCCATCAAGCAAGACATCGAACTTCCGCTTGCTATTCATGACGTCCGGGACGTCAGCGTTCTCGTTGCTTAAGCTTACTAATTTATAGGTGTTGGGAGAAGAACTTTTCGCTCTTGAAACACAGAGAGGCGTCTTAAATAATCATTGAGGAATTCACTTTTTCTTAACATACGTAGGCGAATTGAAGCTTCGAGAGAACTTCGAAGAAAAACAAAGGCAAGAAAATATCTCAGAAGGTAAGGTGAAAGAAGTCCATTTTGTGAGGGCGTGCCAATATTATGCTAAGGATCAATTAATGTATAATCGCTTGGAAATGTGACTTAAATATATGTAACTACAATACAATACAATATTCTTTATTTAACGAAGGTGACGTAATAACCCAATAGTTATCTAACTTACGGCTTTCACAACAATACAAAATACACATATAAAAACAATGCCTAATCAATAATATACGACTACAACAAGAGAAAAAAATAGAACTAGACAAACGTATGGTCTAACATAGATATAAGATGATATAAACTAATTACCTTCTAATACAGTTACAATGAATTGAAGAGAAAAACGACAATCATAACACATTAATTGTTCAAGATGAGAAACGTTACTAGCAAACTTAAGGAATAAGATAAAGAGTTTATGCTTAAAATTATTTAATCTAGATGAAAAAATAATAGAATAGGTTAACAACAGTGGCTGGCTATTGTGTGCTGAAATTCAAAAGCTAAGCAAAGCAACTAAAAGCAATTTTCAGATTTGATTAACCCCCAATATCTTGAGTCACTTGTGCTTGATAAAGATTAAGCGCTTCGAGTGTGTTAATCGAATGACAGGAGGCTGCTCTACCATCGTCGCGTTACCTTAATTTCGTTGTACAATCAACCGTAATTTTGTTCGAGTAAGAAAAGGAAAGCGTTCATGTTTGTGAGGGCTACTCATCCAAACTGGTTGCCATTAGCTAGATACCTAACACCCTAGCTGGAGCTAAAAACGACCTGTATGTGATGCAACCCACTCCGTCACCTTAGTGGTCCCCACAGGAGCGGGATTATGGCCCCTTATTTTTGTTAACTGTCCTTAATTCTCAAAATAATCGTTTAAACTGTTGCAAGTGGGAAAATCGGCTTACCTTGTTCTTTTACTTATTTACTAGTTACAGAGTACCCACCCTATGATCATCTGAAATATTTTATATTTTCAGAGGAAATTTCTACCGAGAATGAAACGAAGAACAAACAGCATATTGAAATGAAAGATCCAGTTTGTATAACACTGGAATATTACAGGTATGGACATATAGAATTTCTGTAGGAGGCATTACAACGCCAAAGTTTGACCTTGTTTAAATGTGACTGAGTTTAATCATACTTTAATCATTTTTTACTCAATAGACGAAAGAGGAACTGGATGGAAAAGCAGGTAAGGAAATGAATTAGTGTTTGTCATTCTCACCCTCATTCTCATCATCATTATTACTATTGCTATTACTATTATTATTATTATTATTATTATTATTATTATTATCATTATTCAACTTCTTGATTTTGGAAGCTCTTTCACGAACTTCGAAAAATACCATTTTCTCTTTCCTTTTTTCAGATATTTCCCACTCTTTATCTTCGATGTCCTTCTGCAATGACTGTCAATGTGCTCAAGAAATTCCTGGTTATGAAATTCGCTATTCCTAGCACACACCAGGTAATCCGCCAATTTGGTGCTTTATTCAAGTCGTAGATTAATGGAAAAGAAATATTACACAGACCATGCTGGAAATGTTAATAAATGAAAATATAATGTTTTAATTAGGTCTTTTGATTTCCTTAGGTGGAAATCATCCGCTGCGATGAAATACTGCACGGTCATCTTACTATGACAGAAGTTTCTCGGATATATGGACTCTATGCTAAGGTGAAAATGCATATATATAACACAAGCTTGCATTTATCGATGTTGTGTCACCATGTTGATTTGTAAATAAGCGATCTGTAGCTGGTCATTTTGTTTTACCCTAAGAAAATGCAACCATAAACAGTTTTCCAAAAGAGTGATCGAATCTTCTCAAAATCTCCACATTTTGTCAGCCGTCCCAGAACCCATCGAAATTCTTCTTTCCAAAACTTGTGTCACCTTATCGCGTATTTTTAGAGCCGTCACAGTTTTTTTATTTTTGATATTTTCCAATCGCCCAGACCGCAAAACAACCTTTTTCGTTCTCGAAAACTTAGTACAGGGTGTAAGTCAAGCTTTCCGTAAAACGTGTTAGCGTATTGAGTTCCTTAATGAATTAGAAGGAAACCAAAGGATACAGAAACGTTTAAGTCCTCTAGCTTATTTATATTTTGTTCACAGTCTTTTCTGGATCTTGAATACGCCATCCTTGAAGTCGGAGTAGACGAGACTACAATTGTTGAGAACAAAAACATTTACAAATTTTCGCACGGAAAGATCCATCCCAGAAAAAAGAAGAAACGAAAAAGGGAAGCGAACTGTGTCGAAACAAAGATACAGCAATCAACTACTGCGGAATCTTTTCAACCACCTTGTAAAATTGCAAGCTTTGCAGAATGTCACAACAGTGCTGAGCCCATGTTACAAAGTGACATTTTACCAACATTTCCAGACACTCCACCAAGTTTTGACCTTATACCACATGCAAAACCGATTGAATACCGTGCGTGATGTCAAACGATGAGTAGAGCCGTGACTTGTACAAACCGATCGCCGAATGCTGGTTGACTCTGAAAGGGTCTATAAGTTTGGTTCAGACGAAAAGATGGCTCTGGCTCCAGGTATAGAGTTCAAAGGGAAGAATCAAACATTCAGAGAAACTTGAAACATTTTTGGTCCCAGCCTTTTTGTAGCCAACGGGCAAGCCTTTCCAGGCGAGCCTGTGAAAGAGTTGGAACGAGAGAGAGAAAGACAAGTGGGGGCGGGGTGGGGGTGGTGTACGGGTTAGAAAACAAGAGGGCAAAAAGAAAACACTCTCCCCTACTCCTCTTTCCATTTTTTTCTCGCCATAACTTTCGCGTAATAACTTGATCGGAAACGTTTGCTTTATTGTATTTCTTTCCTGAAACAGTATTGTATTTCTTTCCTGTTGGCATAGCTTGCCTAGAAGCTGGTTAAAATCCAAAACTGTCAAACCTTTTTTTTCTCTTTTAAGTTTCAACAACTCTTGCCATTTACTGAGTTAAACAGGGAACGTAACCTAAAGGTTAAAAAGTTATGTTAATATTTAACTTTTTTATCCGCGGAAAATCTTTATTATCTTCGGATATGCCTAACGGCCGGGTGCTTCTTCTAAGAGAAAATAAATATAAATAACTTATATTGCTAAATATGCTTCAGCTAGCAGAGAAATGTATATAAGATAAGAAAAGGAAAATTTTTTATGAAAATAAATTGCGAAAATCTGTGATGAAATGGAGTCTAATATTGGTGTGCACTTAAATGTGTGAAAAATGGGGTTCTCCTGGTCAAAAGGTTTTGAGGCACCACCCCTTTTTCACGTGTTTTTGAATGGAATTTGTGGCTAACCTACCACCATTTGTAGCCCATCCCCCCCCCCCTCCCGAACAAATTTGAGGTCCTTAACGTGTGCAAGATATGCAAAAGGTGTTTGTAACACCAAACACTGTCCAGGGGGAGAGGGGGTCAACTTGAATTACATTTTCCTCACCTGAAACACGAAGTGTCCCAAACGTTTTGACCAGGATTGTAGAATCTCGTAAAATGTGCGTAGTTTCCAAACTTTTTAATTTAAAAATGGAATTTTCCGACTCAAAATCTAAGATGGAGGTCAAAATGGCTGTGATTGTGATAACCATCGATCTAGTCCTCTCTTCGGGGTTTACCTCGGTGTACGAGACGGTGAACTTTTCTATGTTCTGCTGTTTTTGTTTTCCTATAGATTCTATTGTGTTGACGTCTTTGTTTTTTTTTTACATTACCCTTAAGTTTAACAGGTTCTTACACCAAGGATGAGCTCTCTTCGTTCAAAGATGTTTGGTTCGTTTATTTTAGTGTCAGCGACTATTAAAACCACTTCCAAGAAAACATCCTGTACTACGCGTACATATTCTCCGAAAAGGCGACTCGAACTAACATAGAATCAAACGCAATTCAGACAGAAAAGGACTAAAAATAAGTTACTTTTTACACTGATTGCAACCGTAAGACGTTCGAAGCATTTGACGACAATAGCAATCAAGTATAGCCTGCGTCGCAGACAGTCTAAATCCCTGGTAGATCTCTATCTGGGTCTCGAGTGACAAGTCCGGCTTCAACGCAGGCTAATCAAATACAGATATTATAGCGCTCCTTTTTGGATAAGCACCCCTTTAGTCCGATCTCATAGTAATTAACATTAACATTCAATTGGTGGTCAGTATTGCATTGCATAATTATTTTTTGTCTCTGTTTTTTTCAAAGCATTTTCCTCACTTCTTAATTCAGTTTTTTTTTCTCACTTTTATACAATTTCAGTAAATATATGCAATCATCGGCTCCTGATGCAATATAATCAGTTGTAAATTGCAACGCCTTTTTTTCAAAACCAAGCCACGCTTTTTGCTTCAAAGGGTTTGCTTTCACTTGTTACATAATCAGGTGGCAAGTAAGAATTTATTTGCAGACTCACCATATCTCATCTATTCAGTAGAATTTGAAGACAGCGTAATTAAAACGCTTTTTTCTATTGCTAATAAGCTCGCTCATCATTTTAACCCATTTATATCCCCAGTGTATTACGTAAAACTTGACATGTTTTCCCGAAAAATGCGTTCCTCATTTCATGTCATTCTTTTCGATCATCAATTGAAAAGAAACTTTTATTGATGTCTTATAATTAACAAACTATTGTTTTTCGTTCTGAGTATCATATATAAACCGCGTGGAACAGAGGATAATTTTATTTGTACCTTAGTTGTCACTGAAAAAGGTTGACATGACAGTTGGTCACATAATGAAGTTAGCGCTGTTCTTGTTAGCCGTTCTTCCGTCGATAGAGGCAAATTGGGGTCAGTGCAGAGAATCAAATTGGAAAGGAAAGTTTAACAAAAAGAGCTGGGTGAGATGTGATCACTCTACGGAATACATGACCGGGCTCTACAGAACGGACGGAAACAACGCTGAAATTTCTTTGATCGAGAAAGCTATGTGCTGCCAAGCTCCTTCGCCGAATCAACATCAGCAGTCATTTTGTAAGAAAGCAGATTGGTGGAAAACATTGGACAGGTCAGTAACGAGCCGATTATTTGGTGCTGCAAGGGAGACACGGCGAGGGTTGAATTATACTGATTTATAGTAAAAACGAAAACCTGCTCAATTTAAATTACCTTATGAGTGCCTGCTCACAACAAAATACAGAGCCTGCTTTTGTATAAAATGTTAGTTAGGTTAATAAAAATAATATGGTACTTTGCTAAAGTTCGTGCAACAGAAAGTATTGAAGTGTTTTACGCAACAGAGGCGTTATGTAATTGTCTAAAAACCAGTCCACGAAATCAGCGTCCGTTTTTGATATATTTTTTTTTACAGACATTTCTTATATTCTACCAAATGAGTTTGTTTTTGGAGATCAGTTTCTTTTAGTAAAATGCCCTATCAGCAGTGAACTCACTGATTTCTGAAAATATATTTCTTTGGCCTATTTTTACGGCGGAAACGCCAGCAAGGGGAAAAAAATTAATCTTTGACATTTTATTGTTTAGCAACAAACGTTGGGCCAATTGTCCGGATGGATACTTCATGCGGGGGCTATACCGCGGCGATGGCCAATGGCTTCACCACATCGAGGAGGGCAGCTGCTGTAGACCCAACAACTTACCTAATCGATATCTTGACTGTTACGAGAAAGATGTCGAAAAATCATTCGACAAGAAAGGCTGGGGAAAATGCGCCAACGGTTATTACATGGCAGGTTTCTATAAAGGAACTTGTGACAAGGTCTACTGCATCGAAAAATTCAGATGTTGTAGTATGAGTGACGATGGCTGCACGATGGCAGACTGGTGGTCGGCCTTTGATAACAAAGGATTAGTCGAGTGCTCCTCTTCAACACAATACATCACTGGACTGTGGAGAAACAAGCAAGCAAAAGACGACAAGATATATTTGCTAGAGGAAGCAAAATGCTGTCCAGCTCCTTCACCAAACAAGCATACGCCATCAAGTTGTCAAAAAGCTAACTGGTGGAAAATTCTGGATGGGTAAGGGTTTCGTACTCCAAAGCTGAATGCAATGTAATAGAATATATAGCAGAATTAGTTTTAAACTTTTCAGTTGTTTCACATCACAGTCAACAGCAACCAACGCCGAGTTTAATTTATGCTTCACGGAATCGTTTTTATTGCCTTTCATTTGGCTGAAACTTCCAGCCAATATCCCCCCAATTCCAGGGGTCAGTCCTGATTAAAAATTGAATTCTCTTTACGATTGGCCGGCAAGTTCTGGCCTGGTAAGCGCCCTTAGATAGACGTTTCTTAAGCCTTTCTAGGATTTAGTGCAGCTATTTGATTGTCATAAAAGACTGAAAAATGTAATAATTTAAAGACAGCCAACTGCTGCAAAAACTTTTTAATCAAGTCATTTAAAACTTTAACCCATATTCTTGCTATTTAAAAGAATGTCTGGGTGATTTAACCAACAGGTTACTTTATTAAAGGATTTTAGACTCCTATATTCTTAGGTCAATAGCATTTTTTTTATCTTTTTTTTTTTAATAACGAATAACCCGTATTTTTGCTATTATAGAAATAATGTCTGGGCGGTTTGCCCAACTGGTTACTTTATCAGAGGCTTTTACCGTAACGACAACGCCTGGCTACATAACATCGAGGAAGCGACGTGCTGCAAGCCCAACTCTTTTCCAAACAGATATGAAGACTGTTACGATGAAAATATCGGCTCTTCTTTTGACAATATTGGACTCAGCGAATGTACAGAGAATGATTACTATGTTGTTGGAATTTACAAAGGCGGATGCGACGAGCTGCATTGTATTAATACACTAAAGTGCTGCAAAATGGTGGTGGGTGAGTAAGCAAAAGCATCACTCACGCAGCAGTCGTAGACAATGAAGAAATCGTTTCGTATAGATTATGAAAAAGGACCTTCTTAGCCATATTTGGAGAGGAAACTTTGCATAAGTTCTCTCACAGCTTACCTTCGTTGGTAACCAGATACCTTAATAAATAATAGGTTACGTTGAAAAGGCAGTTATGGTGACTGTATTGTATTCCATAATTATAAAATAATAGATCAAGCAATTCATTTGTTGATGTTCTTAAATTATCTTTAATGCACGGTTTAGTCGTAACTGATAGTTTGATCGCTATTGGCAAGTTTCTCAAATTCAAGTCCTCCTTAACTTAACCTTCCACTGGTTAAAATAAAAACTATCGTGATCGATTGTGTAATATTTGGCTATGGCTTTATAGATATCAACGAGTGCACTACCAAGAACCCATGTCAGAATGGAGCTACCTGTGTGAATCTTCATGGAAGTTACCGCTGTGATTGCAAATCAGGATATACCGGCAATAACTGCCAAAAAGGTTTGAAAAATACTTGAACAATTTGAAAGAAACTTAGAAGGGAGATAAATAATGTTGTGGTGGTTTGATATAATCTTACCTTGATATGAAAAGTTATACTGGATATTGGAAAAAAAGTTCCTCGCTAGTCTTTACCTCCTTCTCGTGGACGATAAGAATGATACTCAACTTTAAACTCCGCTGTACAATTTCTGTTTCCAGATATCAATGAGTGCCTAAGGAGTCCATGCAAGAACGGAGCTGAATGTGTCAACGTTCCAGGAAGTTATCGCTGCGATTGCAAATCTGGTTATGAAGGCAGAAACTGTGAAAAAGGTCAGGAAAAAACTTCACTATTCACCTGATCGTCCCTAAGAGTAACAATTACACTCTCAGCTGATTTCTACTCATTTCAATGTGCGGTTATTCTGTTATCCTACTCGTGACCATGTTAAAGACGCTGATGACACCGATTGAAAGATATAGCACAACATTATGACATCTTTTCGTTAGATTCTAATACAACTGGAGAGTTTAAGATATTTTCATTGCATAGGGGAGAAGGCAACATTTAAAATCTGAAGCGTAAAAACTTTGTTCAACTTGGAATAAGAAACTGCGCGGGACTACCTTTCCTTGTTTTGTACTTGGTACTATACTATTCCGTAGTTTATGTACATGTATTACGTTAGTTTTGTTTCGTTTAAATTGCGCTTTATAAAAGAACTGCTTACTTTTTAGATATAAACGAGTGCAATAACAACCCTTGCAAGAACGGAGCTACCTGTGAAAATCTTCAGGGAAGTTATCGCTGCAAATGTAAACCAGGATTTACCAACAAAAACTGTCAAACAGGTAATTGCTTTTTTTACTTAATAAACCAACAATGGTGAGGTAACAGGCTGCCCTCGCGATTTTTGACCAAAACACTTACGACAAGGTTATTTGCTAGTATGGACTGAATTTAAAAAAGCCTCAAAAATTCCGGCCTTAACTCTCACAGGTATAGTATAACATAAAGAGAGCGTGCACTCGGAACAGCTCTTGTGTATTGATCGAGGTTTACTTGTGCACATGAACAAAGGGCGGAGTTTGATGTCTCACGCTGCGCGTTTACGCGCGTAGACCCGTCTGAGCGCCTCCACTAAAGTCTGTTGTTCAGTTTATCTAGAAGCGTTATATGATTATTATGGGATAAAGCGCTCCCTGGCTCCAATAACATTCAAAATGGCCGCCATCTTGGAGTTGACTGAAAGTTCAGATTTTGTTCAATTGGAGGGTTAACTAGTTATTTTTTGTGCTTGAGGTCGTAAATATGCTTATTCAAAAGGTTATTAAACAAAACTAAGTGTTTTATGGTGACAATGACTTTATTCTTGCCGTCATAGATGTAAATGAATGCAAAGGAAAACCCTGTCAAAACGGGGCCACGTGTGTGAATACATTTGGGAGTTACCGCTGTCGGTGTGCGTCTGGGTACAATGGCCAACACTGCCAAGCAGGTATTGTGGCTGCATTTATTTTCTTCATATAACCGCATCCTTTCAAGGTAATGACCTTGTGCGCGCTCCGCCCGAAAGGAACTTGTTTAGACTTCAGGTAAATGAAAGGGTAGGAACAGCTCAGTGTCATTTCAAATTTTTAAAAGAGTATATAAAAGTATTTCAAAGATACGCATCTTATGACTGCCAAAATGCTTAGACAACCTTCTGCTTAGGGACAGTTACAGCAGTTAAAGGGAATGTAGTGTTTTTGTTAAAAAAAAAAAACTATCCTTTCCTAAATTTAGAAATTGTGCCTTTCCTTTCCTTTGCGAAGGGGTATCATTCTTTCGAAAATGGTAAATTAATGGGTAAGAGTTGGTCCTCGGAGTGGAACCTTTAACTCGTTGAGTGTCCTAAACATTTCTCTGTGAAAGGATTCTATAAGAAAATTAAAAAATACGCCGGAATACCACCTTTAAAATTAATGTTGAAGATTTACGCTAAATGAACAAAGCAATACGAGACTAAAGAAACTAATGAAGATAGAGACAAAAAGACTGTATAAAGTGATGACAATATCAATGTTTTTTGTCGGTTTTTTTTAAATAGACATCGACGAATGTAAGACTAAGCCATGCATAAACGGAGGAAAATGCGAAAATCTTCCCGGAAGCTATCGCTGTAATTGCCGATCCGGATTTATGGGATATCATTGTCAGACAGGTAATGGTATTGATTTTTTTGGTGTGTGTTTAACAATAAACTCTTTTAAATGTTATTATGTTCATAATTAAAAATATTCTTTACAACATTTTTGTATTTCATTCTTTAATAATAAGCTTGTTCCATGACCAGAGATATGGTACTTGTAACATTTTGTATAGACTCTCAGTTCTGTTATCCCAATAAGAAATTAGCAATTTAGATATTTTTATTCATTTTTTTAGTATCTTGTTATAGCAAATCATTCCTCTCCACCCCAGACTGACCCTGTTAGCTTGAAATTCGGTGAAATATATTTCTTCCTCTAAATTTTCAGATATCGACGAGTGTTACAGTGCTTACAATCCTTGCAGAAACGGAGGAACTTGCGTGAACTCTGTCGGAGGCTATAGCTGTCATTGTAAAGCTGGGTATTCTGGAATCAATTGCGAAATTGGTGAGAAACGTTACTCTTTAATTTAAGTTTGAACAAACCACACATCAAAGAACACATCAGTTTGCAAGCAACTTTAGAAACAAATGTTAAAAAGGTCCTTCCTTCTAATGGTCATCGTCATCGTTATAATCACAATCATAATCCGGTCGTTATAATCATCATCTAGTCAGTAATCTTCATTAACTATTAAATATTTTTATCCTCAATAGATAGACAGTTAATTGTAAGTACAAGCTGTCCCGCATCCACTTTCTAACTATCCTTTGCGAATTATGTCTCTTTTTATTCCCCTACTCTCCATACATAACGCTGAAGGAGGTTGCTGTGCACTTTTTGTTAGAACCTTGCTTCATATTTCAGCCCATTAAAAAAATGATAATAATTAATGTTCTGTTTGAACAAAATTGTGTTTATAGATTATAAAAACGTTGGCTGCTATAAAGATACTTCAAGCCGGGCAATTTCCACTCTCGAAGGCAACGATACCATTTTAGATGGTCAATACTCAAGCCGTAAAAACCCGATAGCTAAGTGCGCTTTAGCAGCTCGCAAGAAAGGTTACAGGATGTTTGCAATTCAAGATGGAGGATGGTGTGCATCTAGTGCGACTGCTGGGAAAACGTTTAACAAATATGGCAAGAGCAATGCGTGCCGACAAGGAGAAGGTGGTGCTTGGGCAAATGATGTGTACATTCTCCAAGGTCAGTGAACGATATTTTAGGGTCCTTATGGACCTTTAACTTTCAAAAGTAGCCAGAGTCAAAATTCAACAAAACTTCCCATTTTTATTTCGCTAAATATTGAAAAAACAAATAGCGCTGCACCATATGCGAAAGAACTGACAGAAAGTTTTCATTTGAATATAACACACAACAGGATTTAATTCAAAAGGTTAGACATCAAATATTAATGAAGTAGGATATTGCACAAGTATTGCTTGTCAGTTTTCAATGCCCTTGTAAGACTGAGTCATACGCTCATCAGAACCAGGCAAATACATGAATCGCTGTCAGTTTTAATTAGCCTATCAGTATTTCTTTCGATCAATATTAATCGAATACGGGTTCTGCTAGTCTATAGGAATCACAAAATTCCGAGGCAAAAGAGCCTTAAGAATAGCTACAAAATTTGCCCTGAAATACCCTGAAACATGGTTTGTTTTTTGTTTAAATTTCATGATTTTTAAAACTNACCATATGCGAAAGAACTGACAGAAAGTTTTCATTTGAATATAACACACAACAGGATTTAATTCAAAAGGTTAGACATCAAATATTAATGAAGTAGGATATTGCACAAGTATTGCTTGTCAGTTTTCAATGCCCTTGTAAGACTGAGTCATACGCTCATCAGAACCAGGCAAATACATGAATCGCTGTCAGTTTTAATCAGCCTATCAGTATTTCTTTCGATCAATATTAATCGAATACGGGTTCTGCTAGTCTATAGGAATCACAAAATTCCGAGGCAAAAGAGCCTTAAGAATAGCTACAAAATTTGCCCTGAAATACCCTGAAACATGGTTTGTTTTTTGTTTAAATTTCATGATTTTTAAAACTTTGATTAGGGAAATAGTTTAATTTAGTTGGTGCAGACGTGTTCTTTCCAGTACTAAAGTTGAAGCACGCATTTTTTTTACATTGTGTACTCTCTTTACTCACAGGTTTACCATAGCCTTCATTCTGCAAGATGAAGTTGGCCACTTAGGAGGAACAAATTCAACATAAGCTCAGCTGTATATTCAGGACAAACACTCATTGAAGAAAAATGAACTGCATGTAAAGAAATTCAATTAAAATGCATTTAACTAAAGAAACTATTATAATTTTTTGTGAATTTTTCCATTTTTCTTCTTTATTTTCGTGTATAAACAGTACCCCAGTTAAAATAGCATCGCGTCAGAGCAAATACCCTCTCCTCCCCCCTAATATGATAAACTTGTCAAGCCGAAAATTAAACGATTATGCTCAGACTGTTCGGCGTGGTTTCCACAGCAACACCCAGGACAAAAGGCTCTTGTTTGGAGGAATTTGATCCGGTACAATACACCATTTCTTGATTCGTTGACATGTATTAGAAAAGGAAAACATTACCACCATCGAATTAACTTACATACTGTTTAATATAATGCTCCCAACCTATAACCTTTATGCTAAGGCAAATTGGAACTTAACCGGACCAGTATGGATGAAAATACTCTTAACCCTTTAAGTCCTCAGATTGATCAAGATTGATTTTCTTCTGACTACATTTTTAAAAGTGGTAGTAAGAGTTACGGAATTACCGACAAATAGCTGTCATTTCTCCTTTCAATAAAGTACCGGAAAGTCTGCTGAATGACCAGCTTGTGTCCTACCTGGAGAAAGAATGTCTACGTTTTACTTTCGGCTCGATTTTTAGAAAGGGATATTTCACTGCGTGTGCCATTTTAGAAACTCCTGGAGAATTTAAAATCAGCAATTAAACCATATGCGAAAGAACTGACAGAAAGTTTTCATTTGAATATAACACACAACAGGATTTAATTCAAAAGGTTAGACATCAAATATTAATGAAGTAGGATATTGCACAAGTATTGCTTGTCAGTTTTCAATGTCCTTGTAAAACTGAGTCATACGCTCATCAGAACCAGGCAAATACATGAATCGCTGTCAGTTTTAATTAGCCTATCAGTATCTCTTTCGATCAATATTAATCGAATACGGGTTCTTCTAGTGTATAGGAATCACAAAAAATCCGAGGCAAAAAGAGCCTTAAGAATAGCTCCAAAATTTGCCCTGAAATACCCTGAAACATGGTTTGTTTTTTGTTTAAATTTTATGATTTTTAAAACTTTGATTAGGGAAATAGTTTAATTTAGTTGGTGCAGACGTGTTGACATTCTTTCCAGTACTAAAGTTGAAGCGAGCATTTTTTTTTATATTGTGTACTTTCTTTACTCATAGGTTTACCATAGCCTTCATTCTGCAAGATGAAGTTAGCCACTTAGAGGAACAAATTCAACATAAGCTCAGCTGTATATTCAGGACAAACACTCATTGTAGAAAAATGAACTGCATGTAAAGAAATTCAATTAAAATGCATTTAACTAAAGAAACTGTTATAATTTTTTTGTGAATTTTTCTATTTTTCTTCTTTATTTTCGTGTATAAACAGTACCCCAGTTAAAATAGCATCGCGTCAGAGAAGATACCCTCTCCTCCCCCCGAAAATTAAACGATCATGCTCAGACTGTTCGGCGTGGTTTCCACAGCAACCCCTAGGACAAAAAGGCTCTTGTTTTGAGGAATTTGATCCGGTACAATACACCATTTCTTGATTCGTTGACATGTATTGGAAAAGGAAAAAGTTACCACCATTGAATTAACTTACATACTGTTTAATATAATGCTCCCGGCAACCTATAACCTTTATGCTAAGGCAAATTGGAACTTAACCGGACCAGTATGGATGAAAATGCTCTTAACCCTTTAAGTCCTCAGATTGATCAAGATTGATTTTCTTCTGACTACATTTTTAAAAGTGGTAGTAAGAGTTACGAAATTACCGACCAATAGCTGTCATTTCTCCTTTCAATAAAGTACCGGAAAGTCTGGTGAATGACCAGCTTGTGTCCTACCTGGAGAAAGAATGTCTACGTTTTACTTTCGGCTCGATTTTTAGAAAGGGATATTTCACTGCGTGTGCCATTTTAGAAACTCCTGGAGAATTTAAAATCAGCAATTATTAATAAAAAATGGCATGTCTTAGATTTTAAAATTTGAAAGGCCTTCAATACAATCAACCACCATACTCAAATATATAGATTTGGCCATCGCGAAAAGCGAAGCTCCCGTTTATGCATTTTAAATTTACTTAGGATAATGAACTTTAAACCATTGAAAAGAAATCCACAAATCTATCCTTAACTTTAGGGAGAACCATATGACTGAAAAGGTGAACACGAACCTGCTCGCGCGCGTATGGAGCTCCGCTACTACGAAAACTAAGTAAATATGGCCGGGATTTGAAGACTCCTCCATACATGGTTTTCAAGCTATTCGACTAATCGTAAGCAATAAATCAAAGTTGGTGATACAGAGTCTAGCCAGAATATAACATGTGTTGTGCCTCAAGGGTGTAAAACAGGACCACTGTTGTTTATCTGCTGTATATGATTGACTTGCCCAAGGCTTTAAACAAATTAACCTATTCATCTTCGCAGATGATACAAATATTTTTTATTTTTCCAAGGACGCAGATAAATTGAAAAAAATTACTAATAAAGAACTTGGCAAGGTCCTAAAAATCTTTGCAGCTCAAAATGTTGTCAATTGACTTTAAGAAGACCAATAAATTGCAAGATAACAGCCTCAACCAAGAAACAAAATATAAGCGTAGGAGAACAATTTGTAAGATAGAAAAAAAAAACGCAGATTAAATATTCGACGAAACTCTAACACATTAAAAACAAACAGACAAAAATGTTGGAATTTTGTTCAAGCGCAAATTATACGTGTATACTATGAATGCACTCAAACCGGAGCTGTAATGCGCTCTTGTATATCCCTATCTATGAGTTAAGCCGGGGCTTTGCATGGCAAACAAAGGTACATATTAAAATCAAAATGAGTCAAAACTACTGATACTTTGCAAACATTGTAGGAGCATAACATCTTCACGAAAACGATACTAAATGAGACGAAAACGAGTCCAAAGGAGTCCAGCTTTTTGCGGCTGCGTTACCCCTGCTAAAATTAATAGGGACGGCTAATCGGCAGTCACCCGTGATAGCTCGAAGATTTCAGCCTCTGTGCCACACGAACACCAGATTAGGAAGCGTTCTGACGAACGCCATTTAAAAAAAACCTCCTGTTCTCCTAATATTATTGTATTTCGCATGTACGTTTGAGTAAAAGTGTAAGAATAAATGACTAGCTTGAAGTTTGAACTTTCAAACACGCATTCTATATATATGTCTTGTATCATGTAGGAAAATCATTTTAAAAACAAAACTAAACTACTGACTGGCTGTTTCCGTTAGTAATTGTTGACTTTGCTCTGCGGCTTGCTGATTCTGTTGAAATGGCCTGAATTGTGTTGGGTGATTTGCATCGAAGTATCCTCTGGAACTCCCTTTTGAACACAGGATTTACCCCTGCATAAATGAAAGGGTTAACGGTGTTGGACAACGCCAAGCAAAAAGAACAAAGCAATTCCAGATTTCGTGGCACTTTTTCCACTATACGTAGCCGAGTTAAAATAGAAATGGTCCAAAGAGGGGTAAAACATAGTACAAAAGCGAATATTATTATACACAACGACTTGTTGATTCGAATCTCACGCGAACTAATTCTTATAGTTGGTGGGTGTGTTTGATGAACATGGCCGATGCCCCTTTTGTGTTTTCCAATCTTTTTGATCACCCTTCCGTAGCTGATCAGGGTCATAGCTAGCGGGACAGTAAAAAACAAACCAACCATAATCGCAAGACGAATGACTCTGCCTAACCGGCTCAAATGTGAATTGAGACAGAGTGCACAACCTGGACTGAATTGGACTTCTTGTGGGCCGATCAGGCGACTAATAACCACATACACGCCCATAAACAGCCACACAGTCACGACCAAAATGCGAGACTTATTCTCCGAAAACAACCTTTTATACTGTTGATTTGTCTTGCATATTTTTACGTATCTGTTCAACGCTGTCAAGCCTATAATTACGGGTGAAATGTACGTCACATATGTAACTATAAACACGTTTATCTTGCACAGTGCTTCCCCAAACG